ACTAATGCCTAGGATATCAATCAACCTTTATGCATTCCATTTCATTTTTGACAACTTTAAATTTTCCTAGATTCATACTTCATACGTTCCATGTTCCGATTATTAATGGATGTTTGCAGCTGTTTCTCCTCAATTTGAGTGGTGCCACATCAGCAAATGGAGGTCTGGAAAGCTTTACCTTATCTCTATGAGTAAGGCTGGTTTTACTCTGATAATGCAACTCTTTCCCAGTCCTATTTTGAGAGCCTTCTAACCTAAGTGACTCCACCTCCTCCTCTGGATTGGAAAATGTTTCTGGACTATTCATAAAGTTGGGCAGTAATGTATCAGACAGTGTTTCTCTGCTATTCGTAAGGCTTTCTGTGGCCAATTCTTTGAGAAGTGGATGGCCTCTTCCTTCTTCCTACTCTGTCTTAGTCTACAAGCCACGCTAATACCTGTGCACATGTGCACCTTGCTGGGTTTGAAACACTGGTGGCACAACCTCAAGACTCAGAGCAACACCTCGCCACAGTAGGACAAACTGACGGACAAGTTTGTCTCCCTTAGCTGTTCGAAACCTCTCCAACCTCCCCTTACCTGGATCCCTACTGCTGCCTCCTCACTCTGTCCTGGTCCCCCTGGCCTTTTTCTATCCTTTCCCCTGCTTTCCCAACTTGCCACTTGTGGGGCGTGGCTTGGATTCCCTCCCCTCACCTGGTCCCTGCGGCTGACTCCTCGCTCTGTTCCGGTCCCCCTGGCCTTTTTCTGTCCTTTCCCCTCGCTGTGCAACTACATTATTTACTTATAACTCAAGATATTTAAGTTGCTTTTTTTCTTCATATTTTCAAGTACTGAATTCTTTTGGCGTTAACAAATTATGCTTTAAATGTGCTTGAGAATATTTAGAGGGACAAAACATGGGTCTGATAGATTAAAAAAATAAGCCATCTTAACAGAAGCAGGAAACTAAATGAATCCTTCATATTAGGAAGCTATCCCCAAGACAGGAGAAACACCATTTAGCAGAGAATCCAGAAATCTATCAAGAGACTATTGCGGGCTCTCCAGGCATTGTTCCTTTCTTCTGCCTCTCCTTTCAACTGAAGAGCAACAAGAACGGAAAATGAGGCTTTTCCCTTAAGATTGCAAACAGCCCGAGTGCCCAGCATTAATTGGTAGAGAGAACACATTAAAGACAGAAGAACAGCAGTCATGACCATTTGACCTGTATATCTGCTACATACTTTCAATAAAAGTTAAAAAACAAAAAGCAGAAAACTTCACTCCCAGTTCATTTGAACCACTAATGTTTCATGTGAAAGCTCTGGTAAAAACTATTTTGTTTTCATTTTCTAAAATGCAATCATAGTTACTAATCTAATAATAATTTTCTTGTTTTTAACTATAATCTATTTTTAAAATCTTGATCTTAAAAGTTAATATATGTACATCATTAAAAAAGTCAGAAATATAAAAAGATACATAACAAAAGCACAACCATTATCCTTATAATCTCATTCCCAGAGATAACCACTATTAACAGCTTCATAGATGACTAGCCTCCTGTCTATGACTATACACACATGAAAATAATTTTCATCTCAATTTTGAATAGAAATAGAGCATGCTGAGTTATATATAACCTTTTTTCAACTTAATATTTACCATGAATATTTTTCCATGTCACTAAATACACACATGCATCATTATTTTAAATGGCCACATAATATTCCATCATATTGCTGTAGTATAATTTATCTAATTTCTTTTACATCATCATTTTGGTAGTATAAATAATATTATGCAAATATCATTAAATATATAATGCAAAACTGTTATTTTATTTGCTTAGATTAAAAAAAAATTGAAATGCTACTGAAAAGGAGAAAAGGACTTAATTATACCTAGGTATGTATTTCATAGTTATAATGAATAGTTAAAATATTAAAATAAGAGTTGTAAAATTATGAAAAAATAAGCTAATTAAAAACTCCATACAGGTTTATAAGAGTCTGCGCTATATAAATTTTAACTCTATTACTGATAGTCAAAGGAAAGTGTGACAAAATTATAATCAGGGGCCACCAGGAAATACTTCAGGGGCAGTTTACCAAACTGCAAGCCTCATGCCTTGGCAAAAATAAATGCCTTCTAAAGCGCTAACCTGTTGTTGTCTTGTTGTTATGTGCCGTTGAGTCAGCCCCGACTCACAGCGACCCCTCCTTTGGTTTCCGAGGCAGTATCACTACGGAAGTAGGATTGCCCAACCTTCCTTCCGAGGAGTGGCTGGTGGGTTTGAGCCGCCAGCCTTCTGGTTAGCATCAAGTGCTTTAGCCACTATGCTACCAGAGCTCCTAACCTAGCAAACGCAATCTGTAAAAGGTAGCAAAAAGCATGCCTATCAGTTAAGAAAATAGGACAAAACATGTTAACACTGATGGTCTTGTGGACAGGGAAATGCAGGGACCAAATCAACCATCTTTTGCATGCAGTCTCAGTTTTCTATCATGTGCATAAATTACATTCACAAGTAAATAGCTAAATAAACAAAAAGAAGGACTGAAGGTCACAACAGTAATGTCAATTCCAATCTGTGGCACCAGTTTGTAGTCTCGTTCAGGCACATAAATGACAACACAGCTGCCAGTGCACCACAAGGCTTCTGAAAAGCTTTGTCCACAAAATGAAGATCTCTGACTGGAAGTAAAGTCTTTATGCTCAAATGGTATCTGTCAAAGTTCTCATTTCTCTGCCCCTTATTGGACCAAAATAAAAGAAGAAGAAAGAGCCAAGATTAGATATACTTACTTGTCAATGCACACTTTAATTTTAAGCTGATAATTTAACTCAGGGAATTTTACCAACAACCTGTTGCAAAAAAAGAAAAAAAAGTTTCTAAGAAAAGGCCATAGCAACCAGTTAAAAAATAAGTCATAGTCTCCCTCAGCAATATACAATTAAAGGAATGCAAACGCATGATTTCACTTCTAAGAAGTGACTACATCACAACCCCACAGTCCTCTTCCAGCCAGCACCATCTCTGATCTTAAATTGAACATCAGCCTTCATGCCAAAAGATGCTAATGAAAAAGCCTAAGAATCAAGAACCTGAATAGTTGTGAGAGTCACCAAAGGACAATAAAAACTATTTCATGAAAAATATTATAGGATCTTGTGTTCTGCAGCTGATATCATTTCTGTTCAACTTAAACCTAACATCACACTAAGTTTCTCAAGAGGTAAATTTCACTGTAGTAGGGCAAAACCCCAGCACATCTGTTCTGACATGAGTGTGAAAGTTAACACTAGCAAGCCCCTCGCCCATGTGGCCTCTTAGGTTCCAGATCAAGAAACTCTTCCCCTTCAAATCCTCAAAGATTACCATTCTTTAGCTTTTGACATCAGGGTCAATTGTTGTTATGTTGACAAACGCTATGCTCACGATAGTACTGCTAATGATGCCTAAACAAACTAACCCTCGCCACCAATTCTGCCCCTGTCCTTGAGTACTTCTCAATAAAATATGTACTGAAAGTGTAGTGCAGTGACCCACCTGACTTTAGTAGTAAACTGGACACCAGTCTTGATGACCAAGGGCCGGTCAGGATGCATGGGCATGCAAGGCTGCCGCTCAACCACAAAGGCACTGAAAGAGAACAGGAAGGGCAGCAGTTTACACACTGCTGCGGAGGACCAGTCTGTGTCCTGTTCTCTGAACACAGGCTCTCATTTAAGGACTTTTTTTTTTTTCAGGTAGGGAAATGGATAAGGATTCTAAATTACCTTTTCATTAAGTTTCTAAACAGCTCTACAATTCTCTCCTCCAGCATTGGTCGATGCTGTACAATGGGGTCCCCTTTGTAGGAAACTTTTTGCTGCAACTCCTCTAATTTCTTAATTTGCTGGCGGGTCTGAAGTTGAGATTCTGCTAATGAGGTTATCCTGCCAGTAAAAGAAGAAAGCTACCAGTTACCTGAGTAAAGTGAGATGGAGAAGAAGGAAATGTCATAGGTATAAATATACTAAAGTCCTTTAACATAAGAAAGGAGAATTTATAATGCCATCTTTATAGGCCCTTCCTAAAATTTTAAATTTCTAGGAGGTGGCTAGGTAGAGAGGACATGTCAAAACTCCTATCACTAGGAGGCATAAATGGAGTTATCATTGGAAAGTGAAAAGCATAGGAACCCAGACGTGGAGAACATGAAATGTGGAGTCTGGGACTCTGTTTCCTCATCTCAACTTGTCCACGTGCCAAAATGCGAGGACTCGGTAAACACAGGCAATCAGTTCAAGACTCAGGCTTCAGCCAGTTCGGCCACTCACTATCTGTGCAAGTGTTGGCCAGGTCCCTTCACCATTGTGGGCTTTAGTGTCTCCCTGCATGAAGAGAAGGGGTTGAACTGCATCATCTCCATGAATCCTTTCAACATCAACCTTCAATGAATATGAAATTACGTTCCAAAATGTTGATAACATGCATATAGAAAAAGTGAACATACCGGGAGACAAAAACTGATTAAGTCAATTCCCAAGAAGAGAGCATACTAGTATCTCTCTTGGATGGCCTACCACTAGTTTAATAAAGACTAGAAGATCTCAAAGAGAGGCGGTACAAGGAGAGGAAGAAGAGGGTAACTGCAGGGATTTCTGGGTTCCTTGCCTCCCTTCCGGCACTTGCATCCTCCCATTCTTAGAATCTGAGGATTTTTGTATCCTTATCAGGAGACATTCAAAAATGATTCAGTAAATTGATAAAGTTTAGAGTTGGTGAGGATATGAACAGGATTCTTATATAGAGGTGTCCTAGATTTCCAATGTTGTACTCCACGTATCTGGGTTCCCCTTCATGCCAAGTTTTTTTTTTTCTAGTTTTAGCTGGAGTAGTAAGTACATCAAGGATGCTCAATAAAGATTTGCTGGATTAATGATAAATTATATGAAAAGTACATTCTGGAAGAACATAAAAAAAGTTGTTATATACAACTAAATACCTCATGGGACTTGGTTCCTTGGTTTGGAGGTTTTGGGTCCTGGCTTAGGGTCATGGTTTCATGGGATGCCCCAGTTAGTTGGCCTAATAATGTGCGTAGTGCTTCTGTTTTCCCTCCTAATTCACTGCCTGCGATCTTAAAAGCTTGCAAATGGCCATTTAAGGCAAAACAATTGGTCTCTATTCATACAGAGGAGAAAGAAGAGTCTAGAATAGGAGGAGGA